ATGTTAATCTGCATATAATGGCTCGCCCATAATTAAAGGTCTACAGTGGTGACAAGTAATTTAAAATTTTAATCCTGGCCATCACGAACAACAATAACAAAAACACCATTTTTTTCAAACACAAAAGAAGGGCTTATCGGTAAAATATTAACGCAACGGCCCGCAGTGCCAGCTGAGAGGCGCGGAACCGGTTTCCTGGGCCTCTTTCTCCTACTTTGTCTCTGAAGTTTGACTTTGATCTGCAGCGAGCAACACAAACTGTGTGAAGGCATTTAGAGGCCCTGATTTATTTGCAATCAATATTCTTTTTATCATCAGTAGTAAAACACAGCTAGTCAAATTATCCCATCAGGTTTTTGGTAAATAACATTTTATCTTTCTAACAACCTCATTAGGCCTCATTATTACCATAAATTGCCCGGACAGATATTCCACTCACAATTTTATCTTTCAACTTCCAAAGCCCCAGTCCTGACAGTTTGGAAGCCTAGGCCTAGCATCTGAGTTCGGGTTTACGCTTCCTTTCCAAGAACCCACAAGAGACCACAAGGAAACACACCTCTTGAGGGGGAATTTCTCTACAGTACCCCCTTAGCAAAAAACCAAGCCTCTGCCATCCCCGTGGCACTACAAGACAAGCAGGTTCTCAACCTAGAGCTCGCTTCCTCCCCCACCAACACAAGGGGGTCCTAAATGACACAGGTCTGCATTCAAAATTTCTGTAAAAAATTATGATCCTCCACATACAATCATCCAGTTGCTATTCGCAGGAGAGGGTTCCAGACTGAGAAAGTTGTAAAGAGCAGAAGATTTCTTTGAGCAATTAGTTCGGTGGTTTATGCCACAGAGAAAAGGTTTCCTTGGCCAGATTTCGTTTTTGCCTCATCTTTACAAAATGTACTTTGCACGTTTCTAATGCTTTTGCGTGTGATTGTGAAGAAGACGTTGCGGCCTCTTCTCTGCTGGGAATTCTTTTTGAAAGGATACCTTGTAAATCTCTCATCGCTTGCTCAGTGTCCCGGCTGCCAGAACAAAATGGGAGCAGATCTTTTTCGATAGCCAGCGACCTGAAAGGCAGCTGGGGCCGCTTTCAGAGAAATAGGCTTTCTTTCCAAAACTACAAGAAAAAGTTAGAGGAAAACCCACCGCAACTTTGCTCGCTGGCTGGTGGGTATTTATTTCCGCTCTTCTTCAGGGAGTGGGGAGACCTCGTGGTGGGGGTGTCTAAAGAGCTGCCTTATCCCGCCCGCAGCAGCTCAGGAGGGGGCTGCTTCCCTGGCCCCCGCGAGCCCCGCATGCAGATCACCAGCAGCCCAAGTTTCAGCCCAGCCCGACCTTGCATCGGACCAAGGAAAACGGACCCAGTGGATCAATAGACTGGCCCGTGCTCGGCAGAGCCTCCGCCCCCACATCTGACACCCACTGGGGCCAAAGACTTAGAGAACACCATTTATTTTAAGCCCAGGGACACTGTTTTCTTTAATCCTCCATTATGTAACCAAGGGAAAAAGTGTTTTTCTTTTGGTGCAAATGAAATGAAAACTTTGGCAACTTACAAAAGTCAAAGCAAACACCATTTTAGACGCCAAAAATATTTCAACTTAATTTTTTCCTCAATCTCAATTTTGCGCACACACCATTAAGAGACCCCATGGGCCCCACGGCCCGCCCGTCCGATCGCCATTGTTACGTTGGTTTTGACAGCATCTACCAGACTTTAAACTCGGTTACAACTGTGTGAGCTCTGCCAAAGAAGGAGAAATCACGTCTCCCCCGCCCAGCCCAAAGCCGGGCCGGAGGGGACTCCTGGGAAAGCGGGCTGAGCTGCCAGAGCTCGCCGCCCGCCTGGCCGCCTCCACCCCGGCCGGGGCAACTGGAGAGCTGGGCCCTGACCTCCAGCGTGGGCCGCGCGCCCGGGGCCTGCTCCTGCGGCCTCCTGACTACCGCCGAGACCCCCTTCATGGCCGGGCCTCCCGTCTGTCCTCCCGAGATGGCGGGGCATTGCCCGCCGGCCCCTTCGCGCGTCCAGGACCCCGCTGCCTCGAACCCACGGGCAGGGCCGCTCTCGCTTCCCGCCCCGGCCAGCTCCGCCCGCCCGCCGCTCTCTCTCCCTCCCTCCCTCCCGCGCGCCGCGCCGCCGAGACTCCCTGCCCCGGGCGCCGGGGCCAGAGGGGAGAGGCCGCCCGGGTGAGAAAGGCGCGCAGCTGCCGGGCGCACTCACCATCTGCGAGAAGAGGCTGAGATCCGCGGCGT